AGGTGTGGAGTGAGCAGCCATGGGCAGGGGGCTATTCACCTGTCACAGCGAGAACTTTTTTGATTTTGTAAATAAAACATCTCTGCCTGAGGGAGCTGCAAAACGGTGGAAGTGTGCAGCGCAGAGCCAGGTTTAACAGCTTCTGCCTTCCAATGTCCTGCCCCATGTAATTTCTAAAATTCACCTCTGCCCTAAGAATAAGCATCACCAAGTGGTACTGATAAACACAGGCCTGTATTTGCCAGTGTAAATAATGATGATATTAAATCTGGGGCATTGGTTTGCATGTTTAACTATGGGTTGAATCAACAGTATAACCTTAAATGCAAGTTGGTACTGAATTAGGCTGTGCTTTTGACCTTTCCGTTCTGGTAGACAGATAAAGAAATATCAGAATAGTTTTCCAAAGAGATACAGGCAAGAAATATCTTCCTCACCTCCCCCTCTTAGGACACACACACAGGGTTTTTTTTAATTATATAACACTCGCCCTGGGAATTAACCAGCTTGAAAACTACCTGAGATGACTTTGGAACAAAGAGTAGTTAACGAATTAACTTCTAAGCCTGAGCAGGATCGGAAATAGGTCAGCTGCCTTCCAGGCAAGCCTTGCAGCTATTATCATCTGAAACAATTAGTACTATAATGGCTCTTATTTGAAGATGTTATTAAATGTGCAACTTGGGGATGGGATAGTCAACAGAGATGGCTGGATCTCCACCAGGTACCAGTAGGAAACTCTAGAATGAGGCAGCAAAGGAGAAATGCAAGTGTGGAGGGAGGGGAAACCCCCTCCGCATCTGCATCTCCTCCAGGCGAGTGGCCCTGGAGGGGAGGAAAAGCAAAACCCGGAGCAAGAGAAATAGTGGCAAAGGGGTTGTAAGAGGTGTGAGATGAGCTAGGTGTGGGGCCAGGGCTGGCTTACTTCACACCCTTTCATGCTCTTTTGCTGCTGCTGTCGCGCGCTTCTGCTCCCTCCACATGAGCCTGGCAGCTTACACCGCTGTGAGCCCTGGCTCCAGGTTTGGCCCTCAGTTTGTGCAACAGCGGGGGCACAACAAACAGGAAGCATTACTCATTTCTTCATCATCTTCAGACGAACTGCGCCTGCTTCCCACAAAAATTCACCTTTGGGCACCTGCGGGTTTAAACCTCTCAGGGTCGTCTCACCCCGGGCCCCAGGCAGCAGGGCTGGGAGGGAAGGCAGGTCCTGGGAGCTACCTCCTTCCCTGCCAGCACCTAACACATCCTACATAGCAGGGTGAGCTGACCTACCCTCAGCTCTGCTGCCATGGCCAAGCTACTGCCTGCACCCCACATCGCTCACTCACAGCCACTTGCTGCATCCTGAGATGGCTGCAGGCACATGGAGCCAGAGGAGGGCCCTGCACAGCAGTGAGAAAAGCTGGTCCAGTGGTGATGGAGAAGGGCAGGAGTAGGGAGGAAGCAATTTCTACTAGTGAAAATATTTCTAAGCTGCCTTCTTGCTATGGGCTGTCCCTACCTGTTCTGAGGGGAAGGGAGGACAGAGGGAATAGGACAGGAAATTGAACCACTTGTGGTTTCTTTTAATCTGAAAGCATCACTGCGTCAAGTTTCACACCTGAAGAGCGGTTGCAGTGCTCTGGTTTCCCTTCATGCCAGTAAGAACAGTAAAGCTGCGCCCCTTGCGCTGCAGGCCGGGGGCTCCAGCCTCGGCAGCTGTGAGCGTGAAGGTCTGCCCATTTCTCTGCACTGATCTCAGCACAAAAGTGCAAGAGATGGACAGTCAGCGGGGTTGACCCTTGCAGGGTATTGCTATAAAAGGTTGTGAGCTCTGTGTGAGCCCCACCGCGCCAGCCCCTCTGCCAGCACGCCAGCAGTGCGGTAGCTGTAGGAGGACTGCACGGTGGAGAACTGAGGGTCCTGCTGTGAGAACATAAACACAGATGGGGGGAAAACACATTTATGGACAGAGGAGTCAGGAAGGTATGTGCTCCACAGCCTGCTTAATCTGTGCCCTTAATGGCAGCTACCTGTGCTCCTGCTGCGCAGGACTTGTCTCCATGGGATACATTTATCACACTGGCTGTTCCTCAGGAGCAAAGTTCGGTACAGATACAGTCCCAACAGACAGGCAAATACACCTTTTGCAGATTCTGGAAACAGAGTTTTATTAGGCACAACATGTTCATATCCCTCCATGGTTCAGATGACCCTATGTACAGCTCACATTAAGGGCCTTCTTTTCCAAACCAATTTGAGGGATTATTACATCCCATGTCAGGTAGCATGGTTTGCCCTTTTACATGGTCTTATTATGGGTTCATTTCTTTATTAGCTATAAAATGATTTCTAGAAAAATACTTTTGACAATTGTCCTTATTGTCCAGAGCCTGAAATTTTAGTGAGAACAGTGTAACACAAAAAGGAACAGGGTAGTCCTGTGAGCAGCAGAACTGGTGAAGCGGAGACTCCCAGGGATCTGAGCTAGGAGGTTGAGCTCTCAGTGTCATCTCTGGTTTCCAGTAGGGCTGAGCAGGCAGTGCAGTTTTTCTGTCAGTAGGGACATGGTAGATTGCACGAAAATGTATGTTTGGGGCAGAGGAGAAGGATCTGAAGTTGCTTATTCTCTTTGAGATCTGTCTTCTTCCATCAGATTGGGCTGTATTTGTCCAATGTCAAAAAACATTTAGGGCTGACAGACACAGAAACATCAGAACTGCATTAGCCTCCTTTCCTTAGGAAAAAAGTCAAAACATGAAAGGAGAACTGAGGACAAGAAGTTACAGCTATACCTGGAATACATCTCTGAGAACTATCTTTGGCTTGTACACTGAGGTGGCTGAGGAACAGTGTAAAGTAGGCTTTAGAGACCTCTATGAGGCTACTGCTTACTGAGGCTCAGCTGGCTTTCACCTCAATGTAGCTATAACTCAAGATGCCTCCTGCCTTACACTAAGCCCTGAGCTACATGGTAAGCTGAGTTAAAGTTCTCCAGCCATATCACACCTACTCCACACTCACTGTCATGGCTGCAGTGCAAGCTTTCCCAAAGGCTAAGCAGTCAGAAGGCAGGATGGACGGAGAAAGTGTCCCAGCAGATACCCCAAGGAATACATACACTATGTGCAGTGCGTGCATAGGTTAAAGGGAGCAAAATGCTTTAAAAGGGGAAAGGGGCTGAACCCAAATGCATTAGATAAAATCAAACAAAGTCTGGAGATCTGGAAAAGAGCAGTCTCCCAAGACACAGGATGGAAACCCCTGTCACCAGGAATAGCTAAAACCACTATGGAGATGATGCTAGAAATGTCTTAGCATGGACACTTCTTGAATGCTTGCAGATGGAGCAGAAGCACCATGTGAGAACCAAGTAACAGCTTGCCCAGCCTGAGAGCAGTTTTCCAACAATGATGCTTTGCTGAAGCTTCCCAACACATCTCACTGTACAGATTCAGCTGGGAGGGAGCATCTCCTGCAGCCCAGCTGACACAGGTAAAGCCTTGGGAGGGGAGCAAGCTGGTAGCTTATATCCGTAAATGGGACACACCTACAAAATCTGTTGGACATCTTCCTCCCTGCCCTGGGCATTGTATGCTTCTAAGTCTCCTCCCTCCTTCACAAGGGGATGGAAATCAGTGCTTCCATGTCCAGGAGATCTCTAAAACAGCAGTATAGCCTTTACTGTTTTTGCAAAGTCCAGCCCATTCTGTTCCACATCTGCAGCTCATCAAGTGGTGCTGCGCACTCTGTAGCAGCAGGGACCCAAAAGGCTACAGTTATGAGTATTATATTCCTCTATTATTTCTGAGTACTGCAAATATGCCAGGCACTGAAACTCAAGAGAAACCTTCAGTGCTAGGTCTCCAGTTCAGTCTCTCCAGTTTGCACAGTATGGTAAATAGAAATAATCAATGAGTACATCCAGTGTGAGTCCAGCATTGGGCCAGTTGAGATTTACCTCAATTAATATAAACAGCCAGATGTTAACTGAGTTGCTCACTTGCATTTAAAGCTGGTAAAATAATTTTTAAATCACTAAAAAGGTCTAAAACGTTGAAATGCTTTCTACCCTCTACATTAACAATTTTGGTATAAATTGTCTTTTTGCTTATTTTTTTTTATTTTATAAGTAATTTGTTTCAAAAAAAGGAAATGGTTCAGTCAACTCAGCTAAAAGTGAGAGAATGTTTTATAAAGGCAATTTCCAAATAAAGAAGTATCATTTTTGAAAATACCTTATTTAAAAAGAAGGAAGTAAAACTAAAATATGTCTTGCGTTTGAGTAAAAAACAAATATTTAGTCCTCCAAAATAATTGTTGCAAACATAAATGAAACTATCTTCTGGACCACACTGTGTCTGGTCAAAGAGAAAAAGAGTTCATTCTCTCTGAAGATAAATTATGATAAACTGGGAATAAAATGGATTAGGTTCTGCTCTCATTTCATGCCAGTGTAAATCCACCGCCTTTTAATCACTATCGCTTTTTCTTGCTCCAGACAGCTGAGGGGTCTGAAACTGTTTCCATCAATAGTTTCCCATGTCAAGCAATTAAGACTTCAAGCACGTTTGTGAGGATGAAGCACATTCGTGAGGATGAAGGCGACGATGAAGCAAAGGTAATTAAAATGGTTGCCACCCCAAGCAGCTGTAGTTGTGTTACATGGTGTGAGCACCACCTCTGCTGTCTTAGCCTCTTCCTGCCTCTGGTCCCTTCACACCTCAAATTTTATCTTGGTTTGTAAGCAGAGCAGCCAGGTGAAACTCAGACTTACTCACACAGCAACTGCAGGGTCTGACAGGTCTCGTCCAGCAAGACGAACATCATGGCCAGTAGCAGTTATGCTGTAGTGATGCAGCCCAGCCCTGTAAGGTCCCTTATTATTTATGCAAAGCTGGGAAAATGACTTCCCTCTTTGAAGCATAAGACATTTCCCTCCCACCCCCTCCTTCCAAACCCGTCACGTCTTTGGAAGGTCTTACATTGGCCCCACAGTGGGCCATTCCTCTGCTACCTCAGTGGGAGTCCAGGCCACTCTCCTCCAAGCTACTGAGGGCTTTGGTCTTAATCCGGAGCTTGTGAGGTAGGGCAGCATAGCTTCGGCCCTTCAAATGGTCTTCTGAAGGGCAGGGCAGGCCGCATGGGGGTAGAGGAGAAGTTTTGGGCACTTGTTGCTCATCGTCTTCATCTGAGGCATTTGTGCTGCTTTCTTTGCTTACCTCAGCTGGAATGGGGGAAGGGCACAAGAAGCAGGCACTGCCTGACAAAGGCAAGTGGAAAGCATATTTGTCTGGGCAGTGGTAGTTGAGGAACGGAGAGCAAACTGTGGATCTGAAGGATGCATCAAGCCTCTTTGGCTGCTGAAGGCCACATGTGTCCATGGGAGCTGACTTTGAGTCACAGCCAAGGGTATTTCTGGATGGGCCAAAGGTTTTGCAGGAAAAGTCAGCTGGCTCCAGCACCGTCGGCACAAAGCTCTTCATTGTGAAGAAGCAGGACTCCCCAGCAAAGGGCTCTGCCTCAAGGAGTGGGGAGGCTGCTTTGTGCCCTCTGAAATAAACCCCCAGGAAGTCCTGAAGGGAGTCACCCGGGTAGGTGCTGGTGTCTGGGCTGATGAGCCCAAAGCGCAGCTTCAGGGACAGCAGCTCTGTCCTGAGGATGGCATTCTCCTCGCTGAGAGCAGCCAGCTGGCTCTCCATGGCGAAGTCATTGAGGCGCCTCTTCTCCCGTGAGCGCTTGGCCGCCTCGTTGTTCTTGCGCCTTTTCTCCCAGTACATGTTGTCCTTCTTCTCATCTGGCATGAACTCCCGCTTGCGCCGGGAGGGACCGTTCAGCTTGCCATGGAGGAGCTTAGCCTTGCTCTGCTGAAGCGCAAGCTCACTTACAGTGCTCAGCGGTGCCATGAAGTTTTCCATGGTCGTGAACACAGCCGGGGTTCTGCCAGAATTAGAACAAAAAAATATTACCACTAAAGGTGTTATGAATACCAATGAATAAATTAATATAGCTATGTGATTGTTTTATCTCTGTTGCTGTCATACCAGGAACACTGAGTACAGCACCATACACACATGTAACCTGAGGACAGCTTCCCTCAGCTATTTCTGTCATTTTGGAGCCACGTTTTCAAAATACTCTCTGCACATCAATGCACTCATATCTTACCAGTGTCTGCAAAGTCCATCATGGGGTACCCAAAAAATGTGTATGACTGAGCAGAGTTAAAAAGGACATATTTTGCTGACTCAGTGGACAGTCACAAACACTTTGCCTAACTAACTTCAATCAGGATAATAAAAATTGCTCTCATGTACTACTTATCTCCCACTAATCTCAAACTGCCTTACAAAGGAAATAAGTCTCATTGCCCCTGTTTTACAGATAAGGAATGCACAGGGAGAAGAACTGATTTACCTCAGCCACATACCTTATTTAGCAGCTGAAGCAGGATTACAAAACTACTGCATATACTCAGTCACCATTTTTCCCCACCCTCCCTAGTCCCACTCTGGAAAACTGGATTTGATGAAATCTGTGATTTTGATAGATCTGTAAGCAAATGTGTATGAATACCATGAAAGTGCCGTCTAAGAGCTTGCTAGTACTTGCACAGCGGGTGCTGAGCACCAAGTGTTGCCACAGAAGTGTCCATCTGAAGACAATGACCATGGTATGTTCCTGACTACTAAGTTGTGAATTAAATTAATAACAGGTCGCACTCCATACATCCCCATCTAAGATACAAGCTTCCTGTAACATGGCGATCTTCCAGGAAAACCACATCAGCCCTCCTGCCTCGTGGCAGTCTGGGAGGGATTGTGCTGATCTAGTGCGAGTGTCACCTCAGACATCCTCTATGCTTCACAGAGACCTAGTGAGGGAGCTTAACATGACATATATCTTACTCTGAAGTAGTCACATTTGATCAGCTGAGCTCCCTGGGCTGTTGTCTGTTGACTGCAAGAAAGCCTAGAGTGACTAATTCTGATTTAACCCTTGCAGGCATCTTAGGTCTGGTGAGAGGAATCACATCTTGTGAGACTAACTTAAATTTTGGGAAACTACTTTTCAGAGTCAAGAGGAGACAGCTTGTTATGACAGCTCTACAGGATGGATAGGGAAGGAGCAAAGAAAGGATCCCACTCAGAAATGCTTCACTGCCAGACCGCTCAGGACCTACGTCCCATCTAACAGAAAGCTGGGCCAGAGGGACCAGCCAGCACTGAGCCTGATAAGCCGTTACCTCTACAGGATTACCCTAAAATGGTAAAGAAGGGCATAATTGTTTCACTTTGGTTAGCAACTAATGCACTGAAGCTTTGGTACTTGTCATGTTTCGATCCCCACAGCCCTTGCGCAAGGCCCTTCATTTTAGCCTCATGACTATGTGACTGTTGGCACCCACAAAGACCAAGGCACAAACAGTGGTCAGGATGCCCTCCACACTGTCTGGTGGGTTGCACTTTACTAGAACTGCAATGCACTCATGGTTCACCACATAGCTAGAATAATAATAGTACCTGTTTATATAATTGCAAAGTGCTTTTCTGAGTCATGGGGACAACATCACCAAGGTTCCTGGCAGGGCTGGTCAGAGTGTTGGGGAGAGGAGGGCTGGCTGGTATTTTCAGCTGAAAATGTTTCCCTGGCCTGAGAAGAAAAAGCTTCAGGCTGAAAATTGCCCAGACTCGGGGGCAATAAAATCAACATGACATCCAAAAGCTGAGCATTATTCAGTTTTTAGCCAGAAACATCCAGTTGGAGCATTTTTGGCTTTCAAACAGCTATTTAGGAATCACATTAAATGGACATATTCAGAGCCACGGGTGAAGTGAGAAGTCAAACTCATTTAGAAAGCCTGGGCTGTATACGTTCATGCAGTCGGATGCTGTAAGCTGGTGAAAATCTGGCATGTGACCTTTCTGAAAATCAACGCAGCTAATAATTGGCCATGACTAATAGCCAACATTCTTGCTAAATCAACTTATTGCATGAGTGACATGAATTATTCTTTTCTTGATGACTGATACCCATCTACAAGCAAAAGGGGAAGATATAATTCAAAATCATTCAAGGACATCACTTTGGGCAGGGACTGTATGTCCCTCTGAATGCAGAAGGGCACTAGTTCAATGAAGGACATACAGAAACAGAAATTATAAAGGACCATGTTTGGGTGCTCCACTTGCTCTTCATGAGCATTCACATCAACACTAATCAAAAAAGCTCACACATCTGTGTAAAAAGCCAAGTCCTAAACATTGTCCAGTTGTAATTTGTGTCTAGAGGTTTTGAAAATTTCTAGTGTTCTTCACTTCCTAGGTTTCCTGTAAAAAAACACATTTGAATGGTCTAGTTTTCCAAGAGTGACTAGTGATTTCTTAAGAATCCAATTCATAAATCATAAAGAGGACAAGATTTTGGAAGCAAAGTACTCTGTTTTCTTGCATAGGTCTTTCTGAAAATCAGATCCCTTTTCAAGGTATCTCAAGCTAGCACTCAACAAATGAGGCATAAAAGATCACTAGCGGATTTTGAAAAGCAAACAATGTGAGAATGTATGTAAAGGAGTTCTGTCATATACACAGTTACTTACATATCATACAGCAGAAATGTGAACACTGAGCCTAAAAATGCTAATCTTCTGTAGAAGCTATTTGATTAAATATTCTGCTGCTTACAGATAAAGTATCAGCTATTTATTTTTACAGACTTGGAGACCTTCGGTATTGGCAGGTTGTTATCAACTGTGATCTCTGCACAATGCAGTCTGGCAAAATAGACAAATCCATATCTATTCACTATCTGAGTTTGCTCAGCATGACCAGAGTTTTTGTTCTCGTTTAAACTGGGACAAGTTCCATGAAAATATTCTCTGTCCAAATCAGTGTGATTTTGTAATTAAATACATTTGGAATGAATTTATTTTAATTTAGCCATAAGTCTTTGAGATCTCAAACAGTATGCAAAGGTTCTGAGAGTAATTAGAGACCAAAACAATGAATGTCCTTTAGCATGAATATGTTTGGGGTAATTCCTCCAGCTTTTGATCAAAATTACTTCGGATCTCAAAGCATCAAAGGGAGAATTTCAGTGAGTGTACCTGTGGTTTCTGACAGCGTCAAGAGGCAGAAATACACTATTGTTTCAGGGCTTAATCACTTACCAGGAATTTTTCAGGTTAGTATTTGACGTGACTTTGTTGTTGAATGAGTCAAAGATCAACAGGTGGCTTTTTCACTGTAAAAACTCAGCACCCTCATTGGGTAAAGTAGTTTGTTTTCTCCCTGTCCTTCTCTTGTTCCTGGTGCCTGTCATAAGGAGATCCTATAAGAAGTTTCAAGATTACTGTAACCAACATTCACTGTCCAATATAGCTGGGAAGCATGGGAAATAAAAGGCACCCAAAATAGGCATTTGTGAGACAGAACAAAAAAGTAACAAAGAACCTGAACTCTTCCTTCCAGCAAACTCATTTCAGCACATTTGTTTAACCTTTCCCACATTTGTTCGATCCCTCACACTCTAGTTCATTGTGCCAAGGTGAGAATTTCCTTCAGACCTCAACTTCATGCTGTGTGAATTGAAGCAGATGGAAGTGAAATAATGAGAAGTGAGGGCTGAGTCCAGGAGAAGAGGCAGGAGTCAAACCAGAGGGAGGGCACAGTTACACTTACTTGGAGGTGGGGAAGGTTTGGAAGGAGGTTGGGTGTGAAGTTGGAGGCAGGGGAAGTTCTTATCAGAGGCAGGATCTGGCCTTTTAAGGGCAAGGAATGAAGATTGAGCTGAGCCAGTATGTGAAAACATCAAGTTTTAGGCCACAGAGTACAGAGTCTAAACTCTACCTGTTATTTATATCTGCACAAAGTCGCACATACACCCACATGACATTTGACTTGGGACTCTTCACGAGTGAAGAATCTAGCAATCAAGCGCACAAGGTGACACGCAGCTTGTACCCGCAAGGACGAGTGGAAACATTAATATTAGTGACAATGGTAGAACTGTTTTGGTCAAGTGCATTATGCAACTAATATTTCCTAAGGTGCACTGGTATCTGTTGTTTCTGTGGTTATAAATGTAGAAGACAATTACTAATATCTTGGCAGAATGTCAGCCATGTTCTGTATTATCTGCATCCTGAACAGAAGAGAAAGCACCAAAACCATTGTAAAATTATGGCATTCATTTTTCACCTCTGATTTGCACTAAATCTGCTAGTTCTGTTCAGACAGAGCATCTCTCCAAAGTCCTACTTCTCTAGAGAGAGCACCTTTGAACTCCTCCAGTCTCTTATGTTTCTGAGCAGGCAGAAAGCAAGCCATGTTTTTATGTAAAGACTGTTAAATACATGAAGACATGCAATAAAAACTATCCTTACCACTTCTACAATCCATCTAATCAGCTGTGAACGGCTAAATGTGTAATGTCCTAGCTTAATGATGACACTAAACCATTTACACCTCTGTGAAAATGAGGACATGTTGTATTGAGGTTTTTGTACATGTACTCTATCTACCTGGTCAAAAGATCCTCATTTCTGGTAAAAATGCTTTCCTTCCACTAACAGAAGACCATGTTAGGGCTCAGGCTTCAGAGGTTTGGTTCAGACCTATCTCCCCTTCTTTCTCTTATCTCCACCCTGAGCAGCAGATCAGAGCAGACTCTGATGAATTGTACTTTCCAGCAGGTTGCACAAAGCCCTCCAGGAAAAACTTATATCTAACAGGAACTGATTCACTGCAGATCTACGAGATGATATAAACTTTTTTTTTTTAATCAAAACACACTGCCTCATAAAACAGCTGGTGAATCTCACTTTTCTGTGATCGTAAGTCAAGCTCTCAACCCACAGATTATTCTTTTTCCCAAGGATGTATTAAAATTAGCATAGATCCTGCAAAGGGCAACCAGA